GCCGTTCGGGTGGGGCCTGGGTGGAACCCGCCGAGAGCGCCCAGAAGAACGAGGGAACTCCGGCTGGAAGGGCAAGGGCGGGGCTGAGCTCCTGGGACATAGGAGTCGGGGGATAACGCGTGGAAGGGGCTGGGGAGAGCCCGCACTGGTGGCGGGAATCCCGGAAGGCCGAGTTCGCTGGAATCCAAGGGAGGTAGGGTGCTCAGACCCCAAGCTGGCGGGCCAGACTCCCACCTCGCCACCCCGAACACAATACGACCCGGTAGGTGAGGCGAGGTCGCCCCTGCCTATCCTCAGAGATGGGCCAGCCCTGCCACCTCCTAAGCCTTCCAGCCCCCGGGGAGTCACTGTCTCGCCATCAGGCCGCCGGACTAGGAAGCTAGGGCAAGCCCCAGAGCCTCTGGGGACCTTGAGAGGAGGAGGAGCAAAACCAAATTTGTAAACTCAGGGGGGAGCAATCCGGGAAGTCTTTTTTTTAAAATCAGGAGCCCTGACGTAAGGGAATACTTTCTTCAGCTCCTCTTCTGAGGTAGCAGCTAAATAGGAGTCCTCCTGCAGCATAACCCCTGCTCACAGAAGAAATGTCCTCGTCCCAAACTCTTATTCATCCTTCAAGACCCAGTATGAATAACACCTTGGCAAAGCCGCCAGAAATCCTTACTGCTCAACGTTATCCCCAACACCGACACGTTTCTACTCATAAATGTAGCAAGAATCAACATGGAGAAGAATTATGCCTTCCTCCTCACAGTCTCAGTAAATGAGACCTTACCCTGAGAAAAGGATATTTACATCCTCAAATTACAAGGGTCAGATAAAGCCCATGTTTCTACACACCCTTTACTGACCCTCACATTAGAGAGGGTCTGCTTCCTCAGACACAACAGACTTAGGAATCTACCTTGTTTCAAGAAGTGGAGCTGTTAACTGGAGGAATTCTAGACTGCTTCAATCATACAAAACTGAAGCTTGCCCTAGCTTGAGCTCCAGATGCATTCTTAAAAGAAATCTGCATCTTAATAGATGCTTCTTCACTCAGAGTGGGGTTCCGAGAATTAGGCAATAAATGTTCACTGTGCATTCTGAGATCATTGCTTAAAAGGTTTGCTCTCTGCCAAGTATTATTAAAGGAATCAGGTTACATCGTGATAGGCAAAGGCTGTGTGGTAGGATTCCCACAAATAGGGATGAAAGACCTTCTTATGAAGCTATGGAGAACCCTTCTAATCTAATAAAGCACCTAACATAAACAGTTAATCTCAGTTTGATAGCTTCACAGGTATAAAAGCAAGGGGGAAAATCTAGTGTATGTCTCTCACATTGAATGATTGAAAACCATACAAGCATATGGAAACAAGAGGTTCCAGAAACCCCATGGTTCAAGACCAAGTTCTCTGGTTCAGTTTCAAACCAATGTAGACAACAAAAAAGTGATAGGAAAACGAAACGGATTTGAAATTAAGAGATTGTAAACCGTAGTCTACCATTTTCAGTTTTTATATCAGCTGACTCAACAGAAAAAAAAAGGACTTGCCTTTTTTTTATGGAATGAAGATTTTAAAATTAAAAGTATTAAAGGTCATGATTTAAAAACAAAATAACTAGCATCCTGTCACATAGCATTTCGGAAAGATGAGCAGTCAAAAGTTGTTTTTCTAAAAATATGAACCAACTGTCTGCTTCCTTATCGTGAGTGCATCTTTTCCTAACTAGCCTGAGCGAAATTAATAGGTTAAAATAATCTAAAATTTAGAGTTAATGTGAACTTTTAAGTGGCATACATACAACTCCCACCATTGAGCTTCTGTTTAGTAGATTCAGACCTGGTAACACAGGAAGGAATTAAATGATACTCACAAAGTGACATGCTAATACTTCCTATATGAAAGCACACTATTTCAAAAAGAAACTTAGGAAAATTTCAAAGCCATTCATTGCTAGATTTATAAATGTGAACTCTCACACATGGGAGAGAAAGAGCACAAGCTCTGGAGTCACAGAACTGGCTCTAAGATAGGGTTCTACCCAGTTTCAGCCATGAGATCACTAATCTTCAATTTGGTTTTTTGTAAATTGAAGATAACAGTACTTGGTTTGCAGGGCTGTAAAAGGGGACTAGATGAGACAGAAATCAGTTTAGTGAAATATTTGCTCTCAATGAGAGATTTTTTTTTTTTTTTTAAGACAGTCTCACTATGTTGCCCTGGGCATAATGCCCTGGTGTCTTAGCTCACAGCAACCTCAAACTCGGGCTCAAGTGATTCTCCTGCCTCAGCCTCCCAAGTAGCTGGAACCACAGGTGCCAGCCACAACACTCGGCTATTTTTTGTTGCAGTTGTCATTGCTGGTTAGCTGGCCCAGGCTGGGTTCGAACCTGCCAACTTTGATATGTGGCTGGTGCCATAACCACTGTGTTCCGGGCGCCAAGCCCAGTGTATTGTTAACGGGTATATTTAAAAACCTACAGTACCACAGTTGTCATGACATTTGATTATGGTAATATGGTAAAGAGAACAAATGAGAAAGTGTGTATAAAATTAAATCCTGCTCAGATTATCTTCAAATGAATAATGGTACAGGTTCAGTGAATGTCTGAAATCCTGTTTTAGGGAGGATGGAGGGATGTTTCTTTAGATAAGCAGCTGGGAAATATTCTGGTCCAATATTGATCTTCTCACAGTCTGTTGTTAGTAAATTAGGTCACACACTCCAGATATCCACATCACAATATCAGGATTTACTTGTATTAAAAAGACACATTCTTGTGTACAGACAAAACTAGAATGAGGCTTATCTCTGTCTTGGTCCATTTGAGCTACTACAATATCTTAGACTAAATAATTTTTAATTTCTCACAGTTTTAGAGGCTGAGAAGACCATTATCTAGGTGGCAGCAGATTCAGTGTCTGGTGAGGGCCTCTTTCTGCTGCAAAGATGGTGCCTTCTAGCTGTGTCCTCACATAGCAGAAGGAGCAAGGAAGTTCTTCAGGGCTTTTATAAGGGCATCAATCCTAGAAAGGGGGCAGAGCCCCCTCCCAAAGGTCTCACCTCTTTATACCATTACTTTTTAAGTGTCAACATATGAACTTGGGGGGAGACACACATATTTAGACCACAGCACCCCTAAATTTACTTAGTGATAAAAATATTTTAGATTTCTGCATTCCATTGAGTTTCTAATATATAACCATATTATCAAAAATATTTGAAGTGCTAATAGTTTTGAAACTATAGTGCTAATAGTGCTAATAGTGTTGAAACTATCCATTAGTTTCAACACATCTGAAAGATAAACAAACAAGTAACTATTGGAAAATAGGTATGATAGAACAAAAATTATGCTTTAAATTAGCCTTTTCTGGTTATTACTTACAAAACTAGAGGGCATGATTCCCCAAATCATAAAAATGATTCATTATACTTTTATGGTTTCATTGAATCCTGTCTATTATAACAAAGGTCAGTAAACTTTTCTGTAAAAGGCCAGATAGTATTTTAGATTTTGTAGATAATACATAAACAAATGAATGTAGCAGTGTTCCAGTAAGACTTTATTTAGAAAACACTGAAATCTGAATTTCATATTAATTTTCCTGTGTCATAAAATACTCTTTGGATTTAAAAAAAAATTAAAATCTAAAAACTATTTTTTACTCACAGACCTTTCAAAAACAGGTGCAGGTCAGATTTGGTCCACAGACCATAGTTTACTAACTTCTGTATTATAAAATCAATTAAAAATAGTAGGTTTACCTGGTCTTTATAGGATAATTCAATATCTGAGATAAGGAATCATCATCAAAAACAAGAAATACAGTGTTTATGACATCTTTTATTCAATTCACATAGAAAAGCATGCAGTATTAATGTAAAACAGTATGGTATTAATGTAAAATGTTCAGTGCACATTAGACAAACAAGTCATTAGCATACAAACCCATTTTTCAAGGTTTATGTAGGCATAACAAACATGGTTAGAATAATACACTTTTCCAGAGCCTAAATTAAAAATTGTGCTTAACTCTTACCAATCCTCATCTTCTCAATAGTCTCCATAAAGAAAAAAAAATTTTTTTGTTATACATAAAAGATATTATTAGCCAACTGAAACCTTTTAAAGTATGGATAACACAGCAAGCAAAAATGCTACCATGCATACAGTTTCCACAAAGCACAGTAACATGCAGTTAAAAAAAAAAAAAAAAAAA